GGCGAGCTTTGACTGCTGGGCCCGCCGCTGTAACTCAGCGAGGGCCCCACCGGGGCCGCCTTTGCTCAAACACCGCCGTTCCGGGGGGAAGGCCCGTGGCCGGGGGACGGCTGGTGGGCGGGAAGGGGCTCGTTGGGCCTTTCCGGGCTGTGTAGAGGGAGCGGGTGCAGCGGGTCTGAATGAATGTGTGCTGCCAGCACTCGTGTTCATCCCTGCTCCCATGACATTCCGTATTAAATTATAGTAGGTGTTCATCCAGCTGCTTTTAATAGCTAAATGAGCAATTCTATGGCCTTTAAAGGTGTACATTTTCTAGGTTTTGCACCTTATTAAACATCTGGAGACTGCCAAGAAGGTGACAGCCATAAAAAACCAGTATGAATATATCTCTCTTCCTAATATTAATTACATTAATACATTAATTACAGCATAAGAGTAGTTGACTGTCTTAAGTTGTCTCTCGTGATTTATTTCACTGCAGTGCTGTTAACTGATTGAACTGAGGAAGGTTGCAAGTGCAGCTCTTTAAGCACCGATGCAAAACACAGTACCGATCAAATGTTATAAGCCAGTACATACAGCATCAAATCACAGCTTCTGAAGATGAGCGGCTTTTTTCAAGATTTGTTCCTGGTTTCATCATCAAGGGCTGTTTTAAAAGTTACTGTGTTCTAATTTTAAATATGTAAAGAGTTTTGACTTCATGGGTAACTGATTTTGAGAGTCAGTTATCTTTAACGTTAATTAAACATGCATGACAAAGTCCAAAGCCAATAAACTTGTGAAAAGATTCTACCATTAATAGCTTCTGTGGTATTTTTTTGCTGCAAGTAAACATGCTTAGGATGTAGGTATGATCACTGGAGTTTTCAGAGTTGCTAGCTATTCATTTAAATTAATTAAATGTAAATTCCCCTGAAAGTTAGAAAATATGTTGGCGTCTATAATAATGTGATTTTTTTACAGGTAGTCTTTGCGTTAGATTATTTTCAAGATTTCTCTTTAAAATGCCCACATCAGCTATATCCCACTGTTTTTACATTGTCTTGCATTTAGCTCTTTTCTGGGGGCAAGGGGGAAGTGTACTGATGTCTATTTTTTGTCAGTGCGTTTCCTTCACAACTCCGGTGGATTCTGATATTTCCCTTTGAACATTTCCCTGTCTCTCAGGCTGTATGAAGATGTGAATAATTGTGAAATAGGCTGTTGGATGACTGCTTTGCCCAAACAATGGCTTCTCAGGAATTTACTGTAAGTGATTTTTAACACCGTGTAGAATTAAGTAGAAATAAGACACTATAGTTGCTGTATTATTTAAACCTTTTCTTACTTCTTCGTATTTCAACATTTTATACATTTAAAACAGGTATTATACACTCACCAAAAAATGAAAAAATCAAAAACATGGCAAGATGGAATTCTGAGGATTAGAACCGGCAGAAATAAGGTGAACAACTTATATTTAATACTGTGGGATTTGATATCATCTGCTGCAGCTGGACTGTCAGTGGCAATCTAGTTGATGTGTGAAAGAAAATGAGTTATTTAAAATTTCTGCTTTTCTTCATTGCAGGCTATCTTGTTTGATGATAAAGGACAATGTTTGGAGAGCATTTTTGTAAAATCTCAGGTATATTTTGTTTACAGATTTGGGGTTTTTTAATTTTATACTTATGATTGTGGTTTGTGTTTCAGGAAACATTTCAAACTTTTGGTAATTAAGGTAGTACTTTTTCTTGACGTGGTTATGACAGACTGCTGCAATGCAAATAATGGAAAGCACAAACACCTTCTATTTATTGATAAATCTTATTCTGTTTTTTCCAGAACTAGTGCAGAGGCTTTATGGAATTTTATTCCTATTGGATAAAAGCGGTGCATTATAGTGATATGTTACATAAGCATAATTTGTAGCTAAGTGCTAATACTTTCTAATATATGAATATTTTAATCTAAATATTTATATGGCAGCTGTGATATACTGGGTGGAAATTTCTGAAATGTTTACCTATAAATATCAGAACATTTGGAAGACTGTTATTGTTTCTTATACAGCACTATTACTTGCACACTGCTGGTTTCTCTTTTCTAGGTGAATGCTGGTGATAATTTAGAAAGTGAACGATATTTGATCACCGTTGAAGCAATAAAAGTGAATGAAAAGGCTTTTGAAGATCAGCCAGGGAAACCAGAAACTCTAGCAGTGGATAGAAATGGTGTAAAGCCTGGTGTTCTGCCTCTAAGACATCTGTCTGTTGGCTTGAAAAGGAAGTTTACAGTATGTCTTTGTTTCAAAGATGATGTTAACATACATTTTAAAACACAAAGGGCATCTTTTAATGAATGATACATGTACAGATAATGTCTTCCTGTATTTTGAGGACTGTAAGCCAGAACATGTTATTAGTAGCTGTTTTTTTCCAGAGTTTACTAAATCTGTTTGGTTTAGTAAGATTGCTGTTGCTAAGGCTGCAGTGAAAATCACAAAGGCTTGGGTTTATTTCTGCACAGCTGTGCTACTTGACCAGAATATATTTTATGGAGTGTCCCACATTTTCAGCATTTGATTACAAAATGTAAAGTAGGTTTCTGAGTAGAATGAATTTAAAATTTCTCTCCTAGGGTTTCCAAGGGCCACGTCAAGTTGAGAAGAAAATACCAACATTGGAAGATGGAGAAAAAACAACAATACTGCCTTTATCTGAGCAGCGTCAGAGTACTTTTCCATCCAAGTTTTATGTTACCTCTCCCTTATTTTCTACGATTTGCAAGAAGGATACAGAAACAAATCTTTCTGCAGACCTTCATGAGGACACGTGCATGGATAATGATAGAGATCACATGTCTCTCTCTTCACTGCTTTCAGCTCCGTTTCTTGACAGATGTGAGGAGACAGAGGAGCAAAACTCTGATCAGTCCATCATGAAGCCAGAATCTTCTCTCATTACTGGGCACACCAAATCTAGTAGTCTGACAGCCGGTCACAGGGCAGTGTCTCAGAACATCAGGAGCACGGCACAGATATTAGCCCTTTTGAAGTCTAAACCAACACAAGTATGCAGAGAGCAAACAAAATCTGAAGTCACCGAATGTGTCTCTAGGTTTCAGGCATCAGAAAGCGCAGATCGATTGTATAACCAAGAGAGCACAATCCTACCTGCTTTTTCAGACAATCCTGCCAAAAGACTCATTCAAAGAAGTATGCAACTGCCTTTTAAAAAGGGAACTGTAAATGATGAGAAGGAATGGAATGCTGAAATGCTACATTCAGCTGAACAACCTTCTGATAAAGAAGTCACGGGACAGAGACACGACAAAATGGCAAATAATTTAAGTCCAGATTTACAACATCCCTGCAATACAAATAGTTGCTTCCTACCTGAATCCACTGTAAGTAGTATGAGTGACAGTCCATTTGTCCCATCATCAGGTGACATTTTGTGTTCAGCAAGTCCAATCACCTTTGAAAAAAATCTCTCCAGATACAGAGAGCATTCCATGACTAATGATTTTAAGGAGAATTCATCTATTGAGTTGCAAAGCATGCTTCAGCAAAGACAAAATTCAGAAAGAGTGCCCATTGAGCTGGAGCTCTCTATGGACGTACCATTGACTGAAATTGGAATTGTAAAGGAGAAATTAAATACACATGGCAATAACTGTGGTCCAGATGAACATGTGATGGTGGTTAACTTTAATTTAATGGAGGCTTTTGATTTCAGTGATACAGACAACGAAGACTTGTGTGAAAGAGATGGGAATAAGCTCTCTGAAGGGGACATGCTTTCACAAAGTCCAGATTGCTCAAAGGGAGAAGATGTAGCACAAAATACTGTGTTGAGACTTCATTCTTGCTGTGAAGTAATGACACAGAGTGAAAATGAAGAAGTCAAATGTTCAACAATTGATGGAGATAATGATAGAAATCACTGTGCTGTGGCCAAACCATCTCAGCTTCATGACAACAATGTCAGAGATATAGGGAGAATTGCAGAAGACTCTGCAAATCAGACTAGAATTGAAATGAGACTTCTGGATGGTGGACACAATGTGAAAGAGATTAATGAAAGTCAGTTAAGTATTGAAGCCACAAACAACAAGAAGGATCTTGATGGCTCTGCAGCACACACCATTAATGGAATGTTACGGATAAAAAGCAAGCACTCTGATCTTTTGCCTGGTGACACAAATGTTAATGAATGTCACCCTAAAACCACTATGTTTGAGAAAGCTGAAAGTAATTCGTGTATTTCTACCAGCAGAGTAATTTCTGTAGTGGACAAAAGGACCAAGGATGATGTTATACAGCTTGGATGCATGAAATCTCCAGAGGTGTATTTAGAACACTTCAGGGGTACTAAGAGTAATGACATTAAACCAGGTAGTCCTTTGCTGCTGTTGTCACAAAAATCTGATCCTAGCTGTGGCTCATTCCAATATATTGCAGAAGACCATCAAAAGGTATTTGGTATTTCACATAAGGAAGATACTCCAATTTCTAGAAGTCCTATCTATCCTGTAGGAAAAGGCCAGTCACCTCCAGAGGAAAAAGAAATAGGTGGAACTGAGTTTGAAAATGTAGAGAGCATAAATGCCTTTCATGAAACCTGCAAAGGTGAAGGAAAGGGAATGGACTGGCAGAAACACACAGCAATGGCTGAAAATTCATCAGGTCTTCCTGATTTGGTAAACAATATTGCTCTTCTAAGAGCTTTGACTCAACATAGCACAGCACTAGAAAGCTTAGAAAAGATGCAGGAAAATCATAGCGTATTACATGAAGGAGAGACTTCTAAAGAGATATTTGAACCCCTTGTGAAGGATGAAGGTTAGGTCAATTTCTATTTTAAAGTGAATTCTGTATGACTGAACCTGTTTGACTTCTGTACTTTTATCGTGCTTTTGGAATGAAATGTTATGAAGGTTGCCTCCTGCAGTATTATTGTTTTAAACAGTGAGCTCCAAGTTGGCTCCAGGTCTTTGTTTGCTTTAGTTCAGTTAAATCCTAACTGGAATTATTTGCATGGGTAAACTTTGCAAGTCCAGTAAATATTCAGATGTTTTCATGTAAAAAGAATACTGTAACTGTAACTTACTATGCTTTTCCATCTCTTGTAGCTATAAAACAGTTTACAGAAATGCCTTACTCAGAAAGTATACAGGCATCTTCATGTTTATACTTTGATTCCTCTGGCCTTATGGTAACCAATTTTTGACTACATATATTTATCCGTACAAAAGTAAACTTACTTTTCTTCTTGTATACAATACTTAGTTTATGAAACTGTAGAGATTGAGATAGAAATTGCTTAGAAGTATTAACTAATAAGCTAATAGTAAACAGATGATGTCCTCTTGCAGACCGTATTGCCCATAAAAGTTCAGGAAGCTAACTGCATGACAAGAAACTGAATGCAAATTATAATATTTAGTTATGTTTAATATCACAATGTCTGGTACTTCTCCTTCCCTACCACAGCTTCTTTTACCATTTATCTTTTCTTTCACCATCTTTTTGAATGCATGGATTTCCTAGGAATTTTAGCACTTGGGTTGAAATACACGGGCAAATCTGTTTGCACTTGATGCTTCACATTGATTTTTGTCCAATGCTATTAACAGTCTTTTTCTTTCAACCCATCCAAAGCAAAAGAAAGATTTTAGATGCTATCCAAATAAAAATCCTGTAATTTAAAATACTCTGTTGTGTAAATACATCAGATCTTTGGAAAAATCTTGATTTCTTAGCTTAGCTTTTCACTCTAAATGGTTATTAAACTGTTAGACTAATTAGCTTTTGATACTTCTATATGCAGCCCAACTGTGTTGACAATTTATTACAGAACACAGAGGCATGTATTGTACCAGTAGCAGAAGCCCAAAGAGACTCTAGGACATCTGACTGCCAACCAAAGGTATGATTTCTGTGGAAAGGAAGTGTAATGAATAGTATTTCTTAAATTTCAAATCAATGGTTTACTATTTGCAATGTATTATAGTAAGTCCTAATACATATTTAATGGGTTTCATAATGGATTTCTCATCACTTTTTTAGTTCATTTGTCTGTAGGAAGTTTTCCACTGAGAGGATTAAACTCAAATTTTACAACACAAAAGTAAGACTAAACATACTACATCAGAATATCAATTTTCTTTTGACAGAGATTTGTGCAAAAATTGTGTTGCTGCTGAGTTGCAGAATGCCAGTGAAATGTAGTTAAAAAGTATAGTTTGGTCGGTTTGTTTATTTTTTTCTCCTCTTCTGCAGTTTCCAACAGATTATTTTTGTTGTGTGTATGAAAAGTACTTTTATGGACTGTATGTAGTTCCAGAACAGTAATTACTTTAAGTTAATGATAATTCCAATGTATTGTGTAGCCTGTTGCATTTCAAGGGCACCAAGTAAAAGGATCAGCAGCTAGTGAGATAATGTTGAGAGCTCCCTGCTCAGAGCTAGGATGGCAACGATACCCAGATAATATGGAGTTTGCATCTGAGAGACTTTTATCACCCCTGTTTTTAAGCAATTATGTCCTTTCTGATTTCGGACAGGTAAAACAATTTTTCAAAGTTACTCTTACTAATCTTAGTGCACAATTACTTACAATCCTGTATATGGAAAATTAAAGACAGTTTATTTTTAGAATACTACAGTCATATTAAAATCATTAAGACCCAAACGTAGTGCTTTGTGGTTAAAACTTTGCAGTTAGACAATTACTTTTACTGATCTTTGTCATAAGAGTATGCAAATGCAAGATATAACTTGGTTTTTTTTAACTCTGATCAGTTTGACTTTGAAAAATGTACATGGTCATAGTTTGTGATATTAAGCAGAAATTTCTTCTAGAGAAAGGTGGCAAAAGGCTTTTATTTTTCCAGGTGTTAGCAGTGTAATATTCACCTCAACTGGATTTGAAATTAATGTGGTATATAATTGTTACAGAGTTCCAAAGCAAGGGTTAAAACGTTTTTTGGATTATGATTCTGTTCATCTTTGATGGAAAGAAACATGACATGCAACATTAACGAAAATATTTTTTTTTCTAATGCAATATATATTTTAGCATTTAAAATAATGGAAGAAAATTGTTATTTCATTTCTTACTTCAAGTATGGGGTAGAAATACTGAAGAATTATATCTGGAAATAAGACTTAGAAATAAGATTCACACAAAGACATTTGTGTAGAGGATAAACAGTTTGATTTCTAAAAAGTTTTTCTTTATACTTTTTTGGTAGCCTCCAGGTTCAGGAAGTCTTCATGAGGATGATATCAACTTTACTGGAGAAGAGAATTTTCAAAAGAAGTCTAACATTATTAAAGAGTCAATAATAGATCAGTCCCGTAAGTGAAAGTTAAAGTAGAATGGCAGCAATTGGTCCCAGAATAATTATTCTGCATCACTTCTGTCCTTCGCGTATTTTTCCTAGCATTGGCATTGGATGTGTATCCTCAAGTTCCACTATGGACAGTGTCAGGCTCCCCTTCGTATCCTGATTTGAGACAAATGCAATGGACTTCATGGGAACCTGACAAGGTGTGAATTAACTGTGTCTTCTAGATCTTTCTGGTTTTATCTTCTGTGTGCTCGTGGTAACTGTTTCTTATTTTTGAAACTGTTTTATCTCAACTCTGAGAGACTTTCAAATTATTTAGAATGGGTCAGAGAATAGTGACAAAAAAGCTGTAAGTTTTTTTTCCCAGTCATTCACTTGTTCCATTCACATCCGTAGATTATTCCATCAGAAGAACTGACTTCCTTAGTTGATCCAGAGTGTACAATCTCTCCAGCTTCAGAAAGTGAGGAAACTGTAGGAGACATCCAGATGCCTCTGATACACAGGATGTTGCCAAGTGAGCCGGAGCTTTCAGAATTTTTTTTCAGTAAGAAATTATGGTTTATAATTGTACTTTACAATATTTTTACTAGAAAATCTTTGAGTATTTTTGAAGCAGTGAGTTGCACTATAAAAGACCCCTGGGCACTGAAATACACTGAGATAGATCTGGGTAACTACAGAGTTTGATTTGTGTTTGTTACACATTTTTCATAGGGGGATGTGCCACTTTTTTTAAAGCATGATTTTAAACAGTGTTTTCCAAATCAGCTGAATCAGACTGGAATTCCATGCCTCCCCACCCAGATATATTCTTCTAAAAGAGACTTCAGTAGAATTATTTCATTTTATTACAAAAAATGAGATTCTAGTTTTGGGGCAAAAAAAGACTGTAAGCTAAGCTTCTAATTCATACTAATGTTTTAATTTATTTACCTGCTTATAGTTTTCTTCCATATTCAGCTGTCATCTGACCAGCTTCCAGCTGACACGTATCAATGACTGTCATTTCTTATTGATAGTTAATTTAGTCAAAAGGGTGCTTGTGGTACTAGAAGTCTATTTATCCACATTGGTTAATATTAGTTTACACAGTTTTGTGGGTGATCTTTTTGGAAAAAAGAGTAAATGTTAAGCTGTTTTCCAGCTGGCAGCTGTCACTGACCTACCAATAGTATCAGATTAATACCTCCAAAGCACAATAATACTTAAATAATTTCTACCAAACGTTTTCTTTTATACAAGTAGACTGCCTACAGAAATGCGTTCTGAAATGTGTTGAGATTTAATTATTAAAAGAATCACAGTTAAAATCACTCATTTCCTGTGGAAATTTAGTGTGGAGCACAGGCATGATACAAAGAGCTTGCCAATTAGAAGATGAGATGTTAAATGAAGAACTTGGAATTCTTTCCTTATCTTTTTTGTACATTTGAAGTTAATGTGCCATCCATAAGTGCTACAAGTTGCTTTAAGATGTGTTTGCCCTACAGCACAGGAGAAATCCGACTATCCAGAGGAATATAACCTCTCAAGATTGAAACCCACACTTAAAACACGAACTCCACTTGTCACTATGCCTGCCACTAAGATTCCTGACACAGTCTGTCCAACTGACAGCAAGGAGGTCCAGCAATCCTTTGGCTATTCAGTAGTCAATTTATGCAACAAGTCAGTGGTATTTCCTTTTAGCGCTTTTGGCCCCGAGGACAGAAATTGTGAAACCTCTGTGTTTGGAGAGGATACGGAAGACGAACAAAGGGAATCAGTACAACCAGTGTTCCCTAATGTGACTCCACAATATAGACAAAGCAAGTGGCTAAAATATCAAAACACTTCTCAGTGTGACTTGATAACTCAAAACAGCGATGATGGGGAAGTGATGGATGACATCTGTTCTGAGAATGTCCTTGGAATGCCACTGGGTGACACAGGAGAGAGCAGTGCTGTGAATAAAAGTGCTCCCAGCTTTACACCTCTGCTGACAGCAAAGAGCATGCTTGGTAAATGCTGTGCAAATACCAACAATGAAGATTTGATTTCAGAGAGGAAGTTACTTTCTCTGCACTTAAGTCCGACACCTTTGGCTGAAGCAACACAAAAGGTTTTAAGTCATCTGAGCTGCCACACTGTAACGGGAGATATCCAGGTGTGTAACTTTTCAAGCAGATACAGTTATAAGTGACAGAAACACATTTTTCTGGACAAAGTAGCTGTTTATCTGATTTCCTGCAAGATATTATCAGTATGATTGGATGAGATGTTTCTGCTTACCTATTAACAGCAGCTGCTAATGAATTTTTTTAAATGCTGTGACTAATCTTTAGTAAAGGTAATTCCTTGGTGGACACAGTGCCACATTTAGATTTTCAATCTGAGTGTTGATAGCAGGAAGATAAAATAAAAGCTGTTGGGCTGTTTTGTCATCTATAAGTGGTAAGAACGTGTTTTCAAGAAGTGAACTTGAAGTTCACTTGAGTTTCAAGAACTGTGAAATCAGTACTGTTTTAATGAACACTCACACTTTGCTTCGAAGCATAGCCTCTGACTTTAAAATATTTTAAATTTCCATTTTAATCATGGAAAAGTAAGTTATAGCATTAAATAAGTGCCTTAAAACTATCATGGCTATTTGTGACCAGTCAGCTGTCTTAAACAAATGGAGTAAGTTGGAAAAAAACCTCAAACCAACCACAAGTTAATTTTTAAAAGTCGTCAAATAGCTATGTTTGAGAGTTAATGAAAATGCTAGATACTTAATTTTTTTTCCCCCAATGTAAACTTAGTATTCTGTGTTTTCTAGTTCTTTTAAATTGTTTGTATGGTAAAAAATTTATGTGAAATAGGGGTGTGGAAATAACCAGTATTTTTAGTATACATTTTGTGTTTGTGTTTATATATATATTTTATTTTTTTAATTTTAAAATGCTTATGAAGAGAGTTATCATTATGATGCCCACTGCAGTGTAGTTAGGTGGAAGAAGCTTCTCGGGACTAGCTGGACTGGCAGTCACAGAGGTAGCTTATGGTATGCAACACTTTCTCCAAAGCTCTGTAGTCTGGTTCTTTCTTCTCCAGCCTGTACGACCTTTGCTATAGTTTCATCTGATGGATTTATTTTTATGCAGAAATGGTGTTGAAATCGTAGTTTGTGTCCTTCTCTCTGCCTATGTCTAGTGCTAAAAACATGGTTACATATTTTACTCTAAAGCCTTTGAAATTATTACTTGTGTTGTTATAAATGCAGGCTGTTTGTCAAGGGGCAAATTTTACCTTTTTTGGTCCATCCTAACTGGCAGTCCAAGCTCATTATCCTGTAGCTCGACATGTTTACTCCTGTTGGCAGTCCTATTGAATACATGCTTCTGTACTTACAGTCAACAAAGTCTGAAAGTATCTGTCATGAAAGGGATTTGTGTTTTGCTTTTAGAAACTGATTCTTCGTTGACAGTCTTCTTCATCTTGAAACTTCTGGTTACAAAATGAGGCCCTGAATTTTCTCTTCTTGGTTGTACTTATTAATGAGAGCACAAAATGCAAAAGAAAAAAAAGAAAGAAGAAAAAATGATAGATTTTGTCATATCTGTACATTAGCCATTTATTAGATTTTGTTTCATTCAGGGTTTTGCAGGTTTTAATGGATTACTTTTCTGGTTTTTTAGGCTATAACAGTTTCTGAGTTATCTTTTCCTGATGTGGATAAAGTAAAATATGCTAATCTTCCTAAAAGAAAGATTTCCATACCAACTGTGTTTCAGTCTCATGTTCACTACAAACAGATTTTTAAAGCTGCTTTGACAGGTATGTCTAACACCATGCTATGTAAAATGCTGTCATTTTTAAACAGTGTATTTCTGAAGCTTCACAAAGCAAGGTGAGAGGGAGGAAGATCATCAACATCATCTGTTGGAACAACTCTTCGCCTTTGGTTTTGCATATGTATATACACACTCAAATACATTTAGTCTACACCCAAAATTGCAGAGACAGACCAAAACAGCAGTACAGCTCTGTACAACAATGTAACCTTGTGTCTGTTTACCAGTCTTTAGATTCCTATCTAAGCATGTTTGTTTGTTTGTTTTATGTACAGTTGTTTAGTGCTTGGATTGTTTGGAGCCATGTACTTAAATGTGATTTGAATGAAAATAAAGCAGTTGGAACAAATTAATTGCATATGCAATATGTGAATTTTGCAGGTCACATCGTTTCTTTTAGGACTCAGATTAAATACTTGTATTTAGATTCTGGGCTGAAAGTTTCAAATTATAATGTATTTGCTTGAATGGTATGTACTTCTGTAACAATTTTAAGGCTGTACTAACTACTCTTTTATTCTCCTTTCTATGTCAAGAGCATTTAAACATAGTGCTGTTTGAGTTGTCACAAAGATTACACAATGCTCTTTCAAAAGTGGATATATCATTTTACACTTCATTGAAAGACGGGCACAGTGAGAGCAAAGAAAGCTGCGTTCCTCTCTGCAATCACATGCATCCTGCTAAGCTTGTTATGGTTAAAAAAGAAGGTCAGAACAAGGTGCTGTTGATTCCTTGTTTGTTTACAGTTTTGGGTGTTTGTCTGTTTGGCACATAGACCATATTATGTGAGTGATTACAGGGCAATTTAGTATGATTTAAAATTGCAGGTTAAAGTGATGTGTTACAGAGATTGTTTTTGAGATCAGTTTTAGGATCTGCTAGTGTCCAGAATTGTTGATGTAATAGTTCTCCCCATACAGAAACAACTTTATATATGTAGAGAGAAAGACTTGAATTTATAATTTTCTAGGTTATATGGGATTTCTGTAAGGTATGATTACCTAAACTGGCTTCAGAAACTGAGAGTTCTGGGAACACACTTGTTTTTTTCATCCAAACATGGTGAAAACACAGGTGTCTATCTGATTATTTCTATAGCAGTTAGTCCTGGTCCATTGCTTTACTTTTTCTTTTTTTCTTTTGACTTGTTTGTTTTAACGTGCTAATGGTCCTTTCCCAGGGTCGTTTGTTCTATACCTGTGATGCCCCAAAAACTGAGCGGTGTTCATTTTTCAAATGGATAGAAGATGTGAACCCCGCACAGAAAAAATCCAGACCTGGCATAGTGCTTCGTGATGTAAAAAGTATCGGGACATACATCAGAAGTCAAAAGATTTCTCTCTACGAGGAATGCCAGCTTTTCGTAAGGTATTCCGAGATGCTGTGCACCTTTCACAAGTGCTATGTGAATGACAGGATTTATAAATATTCCAGTAGCTCCAGATTTCAATAGCATTTACCAGATACATTCACTAACTATGTTTAAAGAGGTTACAATTCTGTGTAGAAATGTAAAAGCCAAATTAACGAAGGAGTAATCACAGCAGTGGCATCTCAGGTCATCACTCTTTTCAGCAAGAATCAAAACTGCATATCAGCTACTTGATCAATAGCTTAATGAAATCTCTTATGATTGTTGCATTTGAATTACTGTTCATTTGATCTTTTGTAAGAGAGTTTGGGACAGACTTTGATTTATTTTCTTAGCAATTCTAGTTTTAATGGGTTGTATCAAAGGCTATTCTGTCTTGCTTAACTGTAGGGGAAACAATTTAATTATGTTTGAATATGAGTGAATTATTTTGCAGTCTAGATAAATGGATTTAAAACTTGGTAATGTAAGATGAACAACCACCAAGACATGTGCTGTATAATTTGACCCTGTCTATGGAACTTTCTTATTTTTGATGGTGGGTCCAAAATGTGCCAGTTGTTTACATACTTTTTCTTAAAATTACAATCTAACAGGAAAGGCTTTGAATTTCAAACACAGCCGTGTAGTAAGTTCAAGAAATTTTTGAATACACCTGCCAGATTTGATGGTGATTTCAAAAGCAAACTATACCTCAAACTAAGCAGAAAGGAGCATTATTCTCTCTATAGCAAAGGTAAGCAATTCTTAAGCATCAGAAGAATTGTCCGTCTCATGTTGTGCCTTTTTAAAGTTTTAGTTTGTAATCTAAGGAGAAAAACTGAATCCTATTTTTAAGCTCCTGACAACCCTGATAATTCAGTTCTCATTCTAGAAGGACAATGAAGTATCTCGTTAATTAATCTTTTCTTGTAAATGTTCAACTACCTTAGAAAAATATAAATTTTCATGTTTTTAGGTGTGGGGGTAAATTTGTGAATAGTGAAGTTTCAGAAAGGCCCAGTATTCAAATAGATGATATTTATGGGAAACTTGATGTAATAATTAGTGTTGCAGTAGCTGTTGTGTCTCTCTTAAATTATTGAAATGTCAGAAAGTTGGAGGACTTTCAATAATTTGATCCAGATAGTCTCAATAGTTTGTTTTGCTTCTGTAATTTTTTTAATTGATACCCCTATTTTCATAGTTAGTTCACTTTGCTGTTGGAAATGATGTAAAGGGAATTAGGCAGAAGCAAACATGTTTGCGCATACAGACTCTGCAATGTTCTGACAAATCAGGAGTCTGTAACTTTAAATTCTGAAGCTCTGCATAGTCAAAACTTCTACTTGTGTACAGATATTTTTTTATATTTTTTAACATTTTTTTTGTTACAGGCAAATATAGATGCACCATTATTGCTCCTGACTTTGAAATCCCACTTGCCATGCTCTGCAATATATGGTATAGGAATAGTGTAGTGAGTTTTAGTCTCATCAGGTGTGCCAGATAGAACATAACATTTGTAGGCTCCTGTAGGTGTTGTTTTTGAAAGGGAAGGGAAAATATATGTTTATTTCAGTACTTGCTATTCTTTGGCAAAAAAGTGATTAACTAGATTTGTAGTACACTTCAGAGATTTGTTTCAAATGCTCTCAAAATTGATAATATTTCAGAATTGTCAAAGTCAAGTGATGCTAAGTGCATCAGGAGAGAACTTTACAGTTAGCATCAATTTCAGACAATAAGTACTAGAAGAATTGCACGTTATTCACTCTTATAGAACAGAGCTAACACTTATTCAGGACTTTCTAATACCTCCTACTTTTATGTTAGCTGTGGTTTAATTTGCAGCAGAGTAAATACTGGGCTATTTTGTCCACTTTCCTTTTCTTTAAATGACAGCAGTAAAAGAAGCTTATGAGAACTCTGTATTATTTTGACAGACGATATTTGGGTTGTTTCAAAGACTCTGAACTTCGATCCTCTTGATACTTTCATTGCAAGTAGTGCTTTCTTTGGACCATCCTCCAACAATGAAGTAGAATTACTACCACTGAAAGGCTACTGCTCCTCAAACTGGCGTTCAAATAGTAAGTTGTACAGCAAATAATTCACAATTATGGGAGATTACTGTTGAGGGGAAAATATGGCCCACAATGAAGGGTGAGATTAGAATTTCTGAAATCTAATACATTATTTTATTCGCAGTATTTTTTTCCTTCCAGGTAAAAGGAATATGTTGTTACTGCCCTTGATAAACAAACAAACAAAACCCCCATGTATTAAATCTGAGATTTGGCTGTCCTGATGTCCCTTTCTGTGGCTTTGTTACCACAGTCTAGAATGACTAAAAAAATCAGTGTTTCAAAATTCAGAATAAACATTTCTGTCTAGTTTTAGTTATTTTCATCTGTGTATTTTAAAATAAAATTTTGCTAAACCTAGTACTGATATTTTTTAATGAACCACTGACTTTTTTATTCTTTAGCAAGCTGTTTGCAAGTAAGTTGCAACCATCCTTCTTTTTGGTTTTAACGTTTTTGTTTTGAGAATTTTTGTAGTATTTTGTCACGAGTTTTGGAAACAGTAAGGTTAGTGGGCCTTAAGTTCAGAGAGAAACAGCGTGGGTCTGCTGTAAATCCCACAGAAAAATGACAAATGTGCTGCCAAAAGTGATGCAAAAGTTCTTTTTTTTTCTGTTGAGTTGAGCTAAAGTTCTGAATTTTTTTTGTTTGTTCGTTTTAAAAAGAGAGAGATGAAGAATGAATTATGTAGTGATGTGCAGTCATTCTGGAGCTAGTAATAATACACCTCTGCTTAAATTGTTTTAATACAGTATGAACTGTGTGCTTGATCACAAAAGACTTTATTCATACCACTGAAACTTAGGCAGGTAAATTGAGTGTTCTTAAGTTAATAAATTAATGTTTTTAAGCTTTCTATGAAATCCTTAGGTAGAGTTCTTGTAGAACACAATTCAGTGAGCCTACATTAAACTGTTCTGACTGTAATTCAGAAGACTAAAAACTACAGAAAAAAATTACAATGGCACACCAGTTCTTTGTGGGCACACTTGTTATCAAAATTGTGGGCTTCCAGTGCAATTGGAGGTTTGTTTTTGTTCCCTGAGTGTGAACTGCAGGACTGGATCTCACCAGTGTTCAGAGTCTGGAAGAATTAGTATATAGCTTTTCAGTCTTGATCCCATTGAATCACATGGTTTCACATTTATTTTTTCTTAGTAAGTTTTTTGTCCTAACTTTCTTTGTAATCCTAGATACAAATTATTTCATAATTCTATAACCATTACAAAACTAAACCCCTAATCTGTATGAAAATAAAGCTTTAAGTAAAGTATAGTTGTTGGCAGATACAAGCAACAGCAAAATAGAAGTAGGTGGGTTACTAAACATATTAGAAACCTCTTGTTACTTAGGCAATCTCTGAGCCCTAGAACTTCAGGAAGCTGGCAGTTAATTGGGAAAAACTATTAAATACTTCTGTTTCTTATACTCTCCCTGAGGCATCCACTTTTGTGCACTTTGGGAACAGGCTAGCTGGAACTTGAGTCTGGCCCATTGTAGGTGTTCTTATGGCCCTGTCTTGTCTTTTTAAAGAAAACATCTGCTTAGCTATTGCGATAAACAGTTTACTAAGAAAATCACCTCCTAAATTCCAAAGCCTTCTAAATACTTTGAGTGTTTTTGAAATGGGTAAGGATTTTTATCTACACTTCCTTCCCAGAAGGTTCCTAATGTTGGAATTCACAAATACTTCAAAATAGCACATATTGAAAAGAAGGGCTAAAAGGTCTCTCCTCATCTATAAAATTCAGTCAGACACGGTAGTTGGGTTAACTTGGTTTCTGTTACGGTGAGCTAATTACTCTTGGCATTTTATAATTCATTTATCTGATATTTAGCTGATTTGAAATTTTGACTAATTTAATTTTTTCCTTCTTTTGTTTTTCTGTGGCATTTTCAGTGTTTGTTCATGCCTTGCTAGTTTGTAATGCTAGTGGTGAACTTACATCTTTAAGAAATATGGAGGAGCACTTCAGTCCATCTACTTTACCACTAATACCTTACCTACTAAAAATGTAAGTCACTGAGTCACACTGAGATCATACAATGTCAGTAGATAGAGAAAAAGACCCCAAACAAACAACAGAGATAACATTGAGTTTGCCCTATTAAAAAGTGGATGAGGAAAACTAAAACCAGAGAAATGGTGGAAGGAATTAGCTGCTGACAGTGCAATTTTCATTTACATGGAATTGATAATATATCTGTTGCTTAATTCTCACTCAGGGATTATAAGGGGTTTTTTTTGTTTTGTTTTGAGTTTTGGTTTTTTTGTTTGTTTGGTTGGTTTTTTTGTGTGGTTTTTATTCCCTTAAAACCTACCTGCAGCCTATGCTTTATAACGTACAAATTAATATTGAGTGTTATTATGACCATTAGACTGATAGTACGATCACTGACTGCTCTGTATTAAGTTAATGCATATGCTTCACAGGGGTTTAGTGGAACTGTTTTTCCTTCTCAATTTTTAGACTCTCTTTACACAAAACCTAAAAATAAAATATTTTCTTGAAGTATCAGAGCAATATAGGGATATTTCCAAGACTTCTTTTGATTCACTGTATAAAACAAGTAATTAAATTACCACTCTTAATTCTGCTGGTCTTGCAGCCTTGGAGTAAGTCAGATTGGTAGTGTTAACATGCAGCAAGAATACCCAAAAGTGTGTTTCATATGATCCAGCTTTCACCCAGAGAAGTAATAAGGGGCAGGAATATACAGCCCAGATGTATGTCAGGGTGCAGGAGTCAGCAACTTTTAATTATGTCAGAGTTAATAATAAAATCTCAGTATTTCAGTGTCAGATGAGTAAGAATATCAGAACCATGAGATATGAATTATACATATGCAGTATTATACCACAACTTTTGACTACTGTGTTTTTCTTAGGAATTTTGATTCTGGAAATACTACTAACAGAGTCAACAGAAGAAAATTTATTCCACCTGCCACCAGCCTGAAGCACACAATGATGTATGGACCTGTCAGCACTGAAGTGGCAATGGGAGTAGCTGAAAAGATGATTGAAACGTTCTCGTTGAATGCAGATCAAGCTACATCACTGATTCAGATAGCTCAGATGATGACCTCATGTGGAAGTACCAAAGCAGTGGAAGAACATCAGATCTTCCCTATCACAATCATACGTGGTATATGGCAAATAATTGTGAAGTTTGCTGCTCTTGTATCTTTGCCAAAATGCTAATTTATATGTAACGCCAGTGTTAGTGGAATATCCCTAAATTCTCTCAGTGATGAATCAAGTAGACTTGTTCCTTTAATCATATATTTACAATTGCAGGCAGACTTAAAGGGAGATTCTTACATCTAGGTAAATGTTGACTTATTTTAGCTATAGCACAGAAGAGGAGTTTTGAATAAACTGCCTCTGTGTATGGAATATTCTTTTAAACTCCTTAGTAACACTGCTGTCCTCACCTACTTCATGCATTTCCTGAAAATTCATTTCTTGGATGAGGCACCTCTGATAAAACTTTCGTATTACAACATCTATTCTATCAAGACAGAGCTTTTGATCTTTGAATTTGCATCCTGCCTTTTGCAGTATTTTACATAAGTGTAGAGTTATTTCCTAGCAAGATCTATACACAAAATCAGAGTTATTTAGTGTCTTCTGCTTATTTCTTTTCATATTAAAACCACTTTTTTGTCATGAATCAGCTTTACTAAAGTATCATGTAAAACTTTCTATTCTGCATTATTCCTTGCTGTTTTATACTTGCTTCTATCTTTGTTTTACCCCTTTTCAACACATACAAAAAGGTTAGTAACAGTTCAAAGATTCTTTTTTTTAAAACCAGTATTGGGAAGCAGTTACCATAAACAGAATTTTCAGATCCTGTCAAAGTAAATACGTTGACAATAATTACACTCTTAGTACAGATAGTACTAGACTCAAATTGCCTGAGCTTTTGTTAGGTTGTCAGGCATATTTATCTAGTCAGGATTATTAGTCATTTTAAAATAATAACCTTTCAAATTCCTTATTCTGTACCCTAGGGACATGATATGAGGGATGTGCTTGCAGATACTTTTATTATTTTAGTGTGTTGATGAAACTTCTTAGCAAGTAATGCATGTATTCAGCCAGAAAATTCAGGAAAAATAACTTACTCTCTTTTGTAGTTTTTTTTTAAATTTATTGCAGGCAGTAAATGCAAAGTGTAAGCCAACTGGTTGCCCCTGGATACTTAGAGCTGCTGAAGCAAGCATGTGCAATGTTTTTACAGTAATCACAGCATAATATTTCACAAGATAAACTTACATTATAAAACTGATTAAGACTGTATGTTCTAGAAAATTTTCACTTGTAACTTTGGCTTTTTCTTCTGAAATACCAGGTGTTTTTGGAGCTGGAAAGAGCTATCTGCTGTCTGTTGTGATCTTGTTCCTAGTACAGCTCTTTGAAAGCAGTGAAGCTACAGAGGATGCAAGGCCAGCTCCATGGAAACTTCTGATTGCTTCTTCCACTAATGTTGCTGTTGACAGGATACTGCTGGGGTAGGTTACTGACATTTTCACAGACTGTTTTTCCAAGAACAATAATGCACTTACATGGTAAAGATAATGGTGTTGATATTTCCAGTATAACATTTCAAAAATATTGTACTATTTTCCTAGAAAATGTTGCACAGGGACTTTAATTTTATCCTTGCTCCATTGCACAGCATGTATATGCTAAAAGACTATAAGGCTAGCTGCATGAGTTTATATGAGTATTATATTGGGTCCTACTCTCCTCAAATTTACTGTTAAAATATATCATGACAGAAGATGGGATTGCTCAGGAAGCTTTAAGCAGGAGCGGCAGGGGAAGGAGGGATGGAGATACAGGGAGAGGTAGAGAAAGTCTGACTCGGGAAGCTTCAGCAGTACAAGAGGAGAAAAAGGAATTGTTAGAGCCTAACATGAAATAAAACTAGTGGCTTGGAAGGATAAAGGGAGGAAGGGAAAGTACAAATGGAAGACTGCTTATGAGAGGAGAATCATAAAGGTATTGAGCATTAAGCACGTGGACAACAGGGAGGTGATTTGAGATAGCCAGCGTGGCTTTACTGAGGGTAAGTCCTGCCTGACCAACCTAGTGGCTTTCTACAATGGGGTAACTGCATCAGTAGACAAGGGAAGAGCTATGGATGTCAGCTATCTGGACTTACCTGTAAGGCCTTTGACACGGTTCACAATATCCTTCTCTCTAAATTGGGGAGATGTGGATTTGATGGGTGGACTGTTTGGTGTATAAGGAATTGGTTGGATGATTTCATCCAGAGGGTAGTGGTCAATGGCTCGATGTCCAGATGGAGATGGGTGACAAGTGGTGTCTCTCAGAGGTCCGTACTGGAACCAGTGCTGTTTAATATCTTCATCAGTGACTTAGACAATTGGATTGAGTGCACCCTCAGCAAGTTTGCAGTTGAGACCAAGCTGAGTGGTACAATTGACATCCCAGAGGGAAGGGATGCCATCCAGAGGGACCTGGACAAGCTGGTGAAGTGGGCCTTGTGTGAACCTCATGAGGTTCAACAAGGTCAAGTGCACAGTCCTACACCTAGGTCGAGGCAGCCTTCAGTATCAATACAGGCTGAGGGATGATGCAGCCATGCAGAGAAGGACGTGGAGTACTGGAGGACGAAAAGCTGGACATGAGCCAACTGCAGCCCAGAAGGCCAACCACATCAAAAGAAGCATAACTTCGCCTCAAGGGATGTGATTCTGCCGCTCTCCTCCGTGTTCTAGTGAGACCTCACCTGGAGTACTGCATCCAGCTCTGGAGCCCTCAGGACAAAAAGGACATGGGACTGTTGGAGAAGGTCCAGAGGAGAGCCACAAAAATGGTCAGAGGGATGAAACACCTCTCCTATGAAGACAGGCTGAGGGTGCTCAGGTTGTTCAGCCTGGAGAAGAGAAGGCTGCAAGGAAACCTTATTGCAGCCTTTCAGTACTTAAAGAGGACCTGTAAGAAAGATGGGGACAATCTTTTAGCAAGGCCTGTTGTGACAGGACAAGGAGTAATGGTTTTAAACAAAGGGAGTCTAGATTTAGACTGGATATAAGGAAGAAACTTTTTTTATTATGAGGGTGGTGAAACACTGGAACAGGTTGCCCAGAGGGGTGGTAGAGGCCCCATCCCTGGAAACATTCAATGTCAGATTAGACCGGGGCTCTGAGTAACCTGATCTAGTTGAAGTTGTCCCTGCTTACTGCAGGGGGGTTGGACTAGATGACCTCTGAAGGTCGCCTCCAACCCAAAGCATCCTATGATTCTATGACTTGTGAGACAAATCATAATGAGGTAATTTACATTGTTTTCCTTGAATTGTGGCCAGAGTTACTTTGTCTGGTAAATTGTAGAAGTCTGTTCTTCCATGTCCTGATATGTCTGTTAGCCTTTTTAGAACTTTTAAATTTTTCAGATCTTCTTTTTACATTTCTGTAACGTGTATCATCTCTTTTTCTTTAAAGTCTACTTGATCTTGGATTTGAGGATTTTATCAGAGTGGGAAGTATTAGGAAAATCACCAAAGCAATTCTTCCCTATAGGTAAGAATCTTAATCTTTGAGACATCTGAAGCAATGCTAAGATTCATGATAGTATGTATGCTGTAAAGTTACTATTTTGAAGTAATTCAAAATGCGATTGTAATATGCCTATCTCATATTTGTTCATTTGTTGCATTTTTTTCCACGGCACAGTGGAGAAATTTTACCTTGATTGGGGAATTTACCTTGTTGCTGAATAGAGCTAAGGCTTTTAAATGGAACATAGTAGAAGAGAACAAAATAATGGCAGTTACAGATTTGGGAGTTTACACAAGGAGGAAATGCAAAACGCACAGACTTGAAATATATATATACTGCTGTAGTAATAAGAACTAGGTGGAAGTGATCATAAATTTAATATTCAGATAATTAATGGTAGCAACTCACGAATTCTGTACTTCTTACCCAAGTTTTCTTAACTATATGCATCTGAACTGTTCTGGAGTTTGTCCTTTAACTACTCAGAAGTAAGTGATCTACATAGTACTTTCAACACAATTTGAGAGGATGAAGTACAGTTCAAGATTAATGAAGATTAAATTTTGTTCCTTGGTGTCAGTAGCATACTAAGCGTGTAAAATGGTATAAGAAAAACTCCCAAGTTCTGAAATCAACTGTGTACTTAGAGAAGTAATTTACTACATATATGTGTCTGGTTGGGGTGGTAGGGTGTGCTGGGATTAAGGCCGGTTTTAAAACAAGTGTTATACTGCTCTATTTCAGCTGGATTCAGGATAGCTTAGGACATTGTTGTAAAGTACTGTTATGTATAAAGTATGATTATTTTTCTATATTGGGTGTTCACTGGACACTGTGTTGTTTTCAAACATTGTAATACATGTTATAAAATCTTTTTGAAGTTTACATGCTGGCTCAGGAAATGAAAATGAGCAGTTGAAAGAACTGCTTGCTCTCATGAAAGAAGACTTAACTCCAATTGAAAGAATATACGTAAAAAAGAGTATTGAGCAACATAAACTGGGGACCAATAAAACTATACTGCAAAAGGTACAGTCAAAGTGATGGGGTGGGAAAGTGGGGATTCATTATGCCTTATCCACAAGTCCTAGCAAACAGAAGCTAGAAATCCCTTCTCACACCTGCCAAGCTCCTAAAGTTTTGAAAAATAAAATTACTGTAAAGACTAGGGCAGATTTGATTCCACAGGTGTAGCTTAGTGTCCTACCTGTGTATGACTTGTCTGACTTGTAGTTGTAGTTCCTGTTTAGTGATATGAGTCAGAAACCCTTTTTGAACTTGATTGCAATCTGATTTAATATTACCAGTTAAGTTTACAAGGTAGGGAGAGAAAAAACACAGCTAGTCTGCACTGTCACCTTGAAACTAAAATTTATATAGTCATACAGGTAAAAGATAAGGACTGAACTAAATCTGTCGCAGAGTTAAATATCAACTGCCAAGAAAACCAAACATTTCAAATATATTTTAAGTAACTTTTCATCAAAGTATTGCCTTTTAAAATTACTATTTCCTGTGGAAAAAAAAAATCTACATTTCTGATTTTTTTCAAGTTGTTTGCTTTTTCTCCTTAGGCCCAGACTCAAAAACTCACAGGTTGTTGCAGAGCAATTATAACAAAGCAGATCTGAGCAATTTGTTTCTTGTGCTTATTCCTAGTGGTCATTGCTGCCACTTTACTGCTGGGGCTCGGAAGCTTTTGGAGGATTGTGTAATCTGAACTCTCTCTGTACCAGACCACATCTGGTCTTAAAATACATGAATCTGTGAATTACTGGAAGTTAGAATTTAAATTTTTGAGACCCAGTGAGTATGACAGAGCATGCAGTAGAACTGCTAAAAATTAATTTAGATGTGTTCTACTGCTGAAGCTATAGTTATGTACTGCACAGAGATTAACTATTTAATGATCTTAACATTTTGTCTCCCCATTTTGTCTCCTTCACTAATAGGTAAAAGTGGTTGGAGTGACCTGTGCTGCCTGCCCATTCCCTTGTCTGAATACTCTTAAGTTTCCTGTAGTGATGCTGGATGAGTGCAGTCAGATGACTGAACCTGCCTCTCTCCTTCCTATTGCAAGGTACAGCCTTCCTTTTGTGTTTCAGCAGAGAAATATCTTTTAGCTAGCAGTGAAACAACCTCAAATAATTGCCAAACTTGCATGTCTTTAAGAACATGAACTCCGAGGTCCCACCTTAGAAACCACAAAGAGTAATTTCAAATTGAGGCCTGCTCTTAGGTGCCTTCCTTGAGCTACCATGTTATTTTAACTGTGGAAAGAAGGTGATGGAGAAGGGAGCCTAATGGAAAGTGATCTGTGATAGATAAGCACAGCACTCACTGGTTTGACATCCTTATTAGAACTTTTTTTCTTGTTTTTTAACATTCTTATTTAGGTTTCAGTGTGAAAAGCTAGTCCTTGTTGGAGACCCTAAGCAATTACCACCAACTATTCAAGGGTCTGAGAGCGTTCATGAAAAAGGATTGGAGCAGACTCTCTTTGACCGGCTTTGCATAATGGTATGTGCTACTAACCACATCTTGAGAAAAGATGGAGGGTGAAATTGTAGGTCCACTGAAGTCACTGAAAGAGTTTTGGTTTAGATGTAAGAGGATCAGTGTTTCAGCCTGGTTTTTAACTGAGCAGATTCCATTCTAGTGCATTTCTCTGTAAATGTTATTTTCACATGTGTGTGTGTGTACAGAAATTTGTAAGCATAAAAAATGCAAACCAAGAACAAATGGAAAAACAATGACAGATTCTGCCTTCTAATCTTTCTGTACAGTTTTCAATCCAGGTAGAAGAATCAGGGGCTACAGTATTTGTTGTAACTTTTGTTGAAGTGAATGTATGAAGATTAGGTCAGCTAACTGCAGAAATTGTCTCCACTTATTTCTTGTTTGACCTAGTTTGCATTGCAAAATACTTAGTAATTATATTTCCTAGTCACACTTTCTATATTATAATTCTTTAGGGACACAAACCAATACTTCTTAGGACACAGTACCGATGTCACCCTGCTATTAGTGCCATAGCCAACGAGCTGTTCTATGAAGGAAATCTGATAGATGGTGTTTCCGAGAAAGACAGAAGTCCTTTATTGGATTGGCTTCCAACACTATGTTTTTATAGTGTTAACGGTGTAGAGCAAGTAAGTTTTAAAAAAATTCTTGCATAAAAAGTCAATATTTTAGTTTTTCCTTCATTCTATTTCTGTTTGCATTCTCACTCTGCAGCGAAATGTATTTTAACTGTTGTTTGTGAGAGCTAAATTGGAAATCCTCTTCCCTATTTCCAGATTGAAAGAGACAACAGCTTTTATAACATGGCAGAGGTTCATTTTACAGTCAAGCTCATCCAGTCTCTGATTGCAAGTGGAATAGAAGGATCTGCAATTGGTGTGATTACTCTTTATAAATCACAGATGTGTAAGGTTTGTCTAGTGTATCATCAATAAAACAGTTTTCTTAAATGCCTTTGTTTATTCTAAACATAGGCTCTATTTCAACTAGGTAGAGTCAACTAAAAGTGAGAAAAAAATGCTAGACAGGTAAACTAGAGTTTACCATAAATTTTCTTTCTTGTTTAAAAAAAAAATAAAAATCTGTATTTTTTTTCTCCAAAGTTAGTCAGAATTTTTTAATTAAAATATGTGATTAAAATAAAGGCTTTCCTTTTTTTTTCTTTCCACTTGAACACTGAGAAAACTGGCAAATTAAATAGTACATAATTTTCATAAATTAATTAGGACCTGTTACAAATAGGTGTGTGTGACAAGGACAGATGACAGACACATCTACTCAGCAAGGTTGGAGTTTTACCTCAGCCAGTCATTTGAGGCATGTCATGGGCTGCTGTGATCAGTACGCGAAAGCACTGGTTGCCACACTGAGTGCACCAGTGTTTTGTCAAATCTAGGTTCATTGCATAGTATTTCCCTGTGATTAGTTGAGGTGTTGGTATCATTGCACTCCGTAGTTTCTTAGTTCGCATCTTGTGTAAACTCAGACTTGTTGAGTGGTTTTGCGCAAGGCAAGTGATTGAGCATGAGTAGCATAACTGATCACCATCCATATTCATTGGTCTACAGATGCAGAATTTGCTTAGTGGCGTACACTCTGAGGCGTTTGAAATTAAAGCCATCCAGGTGTCCACTGTAGACGCGTTCCAAGGAGCTGAGAAGGAGATCATTGTTTTGTCATGTGTAAGAACGAGACAAATTGGGTTCATAGACTCAGAAAAGAGAATGAATGTTGCACTAACGAGAGCAAAGAGGCATTTGTTGATTGTTGGAAATCTGGCCTGTTTAAGTAAGAACAGGCTGTGGGGAAGAGTAATTCATCACTGCAAAGGTAATGTATTTTCCTTTTTTTTCAAAATTATGCAGCTCATCTTTTAATTATATATAATATAATAAATAGTATGTACACTCTGTGCTGTACACTATACATACTACATAATAAGGATAGTATATAGTATGCATACTATATAAAACAGTATATTACATATAAAATACAGTTATATTGCAGGAAAATGCAAGTATTTGCAAGCATGCAAGTCACATGTTTGGAGTTTTATCTGCAAACTGGTTTTATACTTGAAGAGCATTTGTTACCCAGTAATGGGACTTATTTTTCTTCTTTTGAAGCCATCAGATAGCTACACAAAGAGCACACTGGTAAGGAGAGCTGAAACCCATTACTGCATTTACAGTTTGCTTTTACATAGTAGACCCATGTAGTAACAAGTTGTAAAAAAATTTTTCCATACAGCAGTATTTCTGAATAGGCAGTATTTAAATAAAAACGCATAGCATCTTTCTGCAACTAGAGGCTCGTTGTTTTGGGAAGATTAATGTTGAGCTGCTAGGAAAAAAAGCAATGCTACTGGAGATGCGCTAACTCTAGCAATTATTATTCCTGACTGCTTTGTTTACAGGTCACTGTCTTGTGAATACACATTTGTTTTATTGGACCACAGAAGGAAATACAATTTTCTGAAATTGTTTTCTACATAATTTACACATATTTGCTGTGAAATTTACTGTAATTCAGGATTTACATACTCAAAAGCTAATCCTGCTTAAAACAAAACCAGCCCCCTTACGGTGTCTGTCTCTACCCCTTGCAACTTTGCTAGAATATGTTTAAAATGCCTGAACATCCCCCTAATTCTGTGTATCTCTTTCCTTGCCGAAGCATGCATGCTTTGGAAAGACAGGTTGCAGTTACTCGTTTCTTTAGCACTCAAATCAGTGCCCTTTGAAATGGGACAGTTACATCTCAAAGCATCAGATACATTTCAGCATCATTTTTTCCTTGGTGATTTTCTCTGAACTAGAGAAGTGAGAGATGGAAAAGTGTCCAACTCTGTAAAATACGTTCGATAAACTCTGGCTGAATCTGACTCTCCAGTACCCACTGAGGCTCCCTTGCAGAGAGGCACATCCGCTTTTTGAAGGGCTAGGGCCTGACCTTTGCAGATAACTGCAAAGGGACTGCTCAGTCTCTAAAGCAACAGGTGACGAAACAATGCAAGAATAGGTGCCAAAATAGTAATTATTTTTTTTACGTACTTGGTTGACATCAAAGGAAGCATCTTTTTAATGACTGAGCTCTGAAGAACAATTTTCAAAGTAGAAATATTGCAGCCATTTGATAGGCTTGGGGAAATGGATGTTCTCATCACCACAGACTAATTACATGATGGATGCTGTAAAGTGAGATGTAGTTATCCTATTTATTGTTGCTTTTAGGATGGGAAAATGGATTACAACATGTAAGCCAGTGTGAGCAGCAGCTAAACGACATTATTAAGCACTATGAGGAGAAATGGAAGGAAGAGGAACAGAATAAGAAAAAGTAAATTTTGCACATATTTTATGAATATGAATTGCATGTCTATAATAATTACCAGAATGATTGTATATCTAATATTTATATTTAATGTAGGAAATTTTTGTTTGTATCTCAGTATACTGATAAGACTAGAAATGAATAAAGTAACTTTATCTGTTTGATAATTGCAATCCTTTTATGCTTAGAAAGTACCTAATTGTGTTGTTAGCGTTTCATTATTCTTCAGATTAGATATACACAAAACATAATATCTTGGACCAATTCTGTCATCTTGCGTATTTACAGATCTGTGAAATCTAGGAAGGAGCATGGCTAAAACAATTAAAAGGATAAGTAAACCAGTGATTTTTTCAAAGAAATATTACATGTCCTTGGTCTGTTGCATCTTTGGGTATCAACAAAATGAGATTATAACAAATTGGTCTGTATCTAGATTTTTTACAGGTTTCAGGATAAGACCACTCACTTGTGTCTCAAAACTACAAAAAAGCTGAATTATTTTGTTTTGGAAAAAGAGTGCTGCTGTGCTAGAAACTCTCTGACAAGGAAAAGCTCATCATCTTTACCATGGCAAAAGTTTGTCTGTAGGCTGAAGTTATTAAAAGTTATTCAAAGCAATCTTCCACTTTCTTTTTGTCCAGCATGGAAATCAATCACCTGTTGATACACTTGTTGCATTCAGCGATGCAAGAAAGAAATCAGAAGTGTGGGAAACACTGAACTTCAGAACACTTGCAGCACATGAGCTGATGATGGGACGGGTTAGCCCAGGGTGACGTAAGGGGAGGGAAGGAGGAAAGTGGGAAAGTTTGTTTAGAGGAAGCTAATGAGGTTCTTGTTACATAAGTAAATATGTGTGGGTTGAGAGTGGATCAGTCAGCAAATTGGACCAGGAATCGTATTTAGCTGTCCTGGGTGTTGCTATGGAAGTGAGGGTCAGTGCTGTAGCTCTAGCAGTGAGTGCTTGTGCAGCCTTTGGGAAGGATGTAGACAGGTGCTACAGACATGAGGGAGCAGTCTTGCTGAGGGACAAACTATACATCATCTTAGGGAGTTTCTTCATTATTTCTTCTAACAGTGTTTTGATGGTTCCCAGCTCAGCCAGAGGATAGTGGGTTTTAAATAGGTTATGGTTTTGATCCTAGCAGATAGTTGTTTCCTAGGGATTCATTGGTACCTACCTTGTTAAAAAAAACCCTAATGAAACAGCCATAAACCAACTCCTTTGTACTATTTGCCAGGAAGGCCGCAGTTCTTGCAGAACTTGCCTTCTCCAATGTACCGCTTCCCCTTTGTAACCAGCTGTAACCCAGCATTCCTGTCCCTGAGAAGTCACAGCTAATGGTGGCCAGCAAGCCTCGTGAACCACTATAAAAACCTTCATCTGTAAGAACAAGAGGACGGTGTCTGTCAGCTTCTCTGCATTCATTTTATACTCTGCTGTCCGCAGCGGCTAAGGGATGCGTAAAACCCTAAACGTGTTGTTGAGCCTGAAACCCTGCCTGCTTGTCGCCATGGGCCTGACAGATGAAAACCACTGTCACCACGGGTGACAGCC